GAAATTCCCACAATTCCCAGAAGAAATTCCCCAGGCTCTTTCCTGCCCAAAGCCTTTCCCAAGGAAATTCGGGCAGGGGAAGCCCAAGGTGTTTTTCCAATGCCAATGGAATGTCAACATTCCCAAACAGGTCGGGCCTGTGGCTCAGCTAGGCTGGAATTAACCAGAGCCGGTTTTAGCAACCAAGCCTAAACCCAGGAGCTTCCCAAAAAAACCCCCAAACCCAATTCTGGAATCAGGAATGTCCAAATTCCCGAGTTTATTTCTTGTTCTTCCCGAATTTCTCTGGGATTTGTAGATTTTTTTTTTTGGCCTCTAAGATGCACTCAGGGCAGGATTTTTGGGATAATCCCGCCCACATTCCCCAAAATTCCCATTTTTCTGCCCTTTGGGGATGAAGCCATGCCCGGGAGCAGCTGCACATTCCAGGAATTCCAGGCCAAAGGGATTTTCCTTAAATAGCCTCAGCTTTAGGCCAGGCCTAAAGAAACCCGACTTAAACCCAGCCCCAAACGAAATCCAAATTTAAACCCAGCCCCAAACAAACTAAAGCAAAGTTTAAACGGAATTTTAGACCCAGCCCAAAATTAAACACAAATTAAAGCCAGCTGCAAATTAAACACAAACCAAAACAAAGCTGAAACCCAGCCCCAAATAAAACCCAAATTAAAACAAAGTTTAAACCCAGCTCCAAATTAAATCCCTGTTTAAACCCAGTCCCAAACTAAACCCAAATCAAATCCAAGTTTAAACCCAGCCCCAAATAAAACCCACATTAAAACAAAGTTTAAACCCAGCTCCAAACTGAACCCAAATTAAACCCAGCTGCAAATTAAACCCCTGTTTAAACCCAGCCCCAAATTAAACCCAAATCAAACCCAAGTTTAAACCCAGCCCCAAAATAAAACAAAGTTTAAACCCAGACCTAAACTAAACCCACATCAAGCCCAAGTTTAAACCCGGCCCCAAACTAAACCCAAATCAAACCCAAGTTTAAACCCAGCCCCAAATTAAACCCAAATCAAACCCAAGGTTAAACCGAAATCAAATCCAAGTTTAAACCCAGCCCCAAAATTAAAACCTCAGTTTAAACCCAGTCCCAAATTAAAACAAAGTTTAAACCCAGCCCCTCCTGTGCCTTGAACTCTTTATTATTTTTAAAACGCCTCCAAAGCGCCGCTTTTCGCTCCAAGCCCAGCCTTGAATCCCGATTTTTCCTGGAATTCCGGAGTTCCTGCAAGGTTGTTTTTTTTTTTTGGGATCACCTCCCCCCGGACAGAGACTTGCTAAGCCGAGTTTATCAACCCGGCTTTAATTCTGAATTTCTTGGCACCGCCGCGGCTTTTCCAGCTTTGTTTTATCCGCCCTGGAATTGCAGGGGAGGCTGGAAAATCCCTCCCGGCTGCCGCAGGAACGGGAAAATTCCTGGAAAAAGCCGCGGTGGGAGCAAGGACAAGGTTGGAATTTTGCCTGGAGTGGAATTCCTAAAAAATAACATTTAAAAAAAAAAAAAAAAATGGAAATTCCTCAGGGAAAAGCGGAGGTTTTGTGGGAAAATCGGATCCCGGTTCTACGTGGGGAAAACATTCCCAAATTTCCTGTGGAGCAAATCAAGTTGTGATCCCAAAACCAAGCAGGAAATCCTAAATTGCGATGGATTATGGAGCGACCTACCTGGCATGGGGCAGGGCAGGAAAATTCCTGGCTGGAAAAAACTTCGGGAGACGCAGAAATCCGGGAATTCTCGGGGTTCCCAAGGTTGGAATTTTTCCCTCCCATTCTCTCCCTCCCACATTTGGAGGCAGAGCCCCAAACCCCAACCACCCACGGGAGCCGGGATTACAAAATCCCAAATCTTGAGCTTCCCAAATCCCTGCTCCTCCTCTTCCTCCTTTTCATTGTTTTGGGGGGGTTGTGTGCGTTGGTTTTGTTTTTTTTTTTTAATAATCCCGGATTTTGTCATTGCCGGATTTTGTCATTGCCGGATTTTGGGGAAGTTGTGAATTTCGGGAAGTGAAAGGGGAAAGGTCAGGAGGGGTTTTGGGGGCAGTTTCGCAGCTCCCGGCGCTTTTCCAGCCTTTCTTTGTTCCTCAAAAAAAAAAAAAAACTTTTAGGATTTTTTCCTTCTCCTCCTCCTCCTCCTGCCAGGCTTCCTCCCATGTGTTGAAAATTCCAGGAAATCCTTGGAAAAGTTTTTTTTTTGTTTTTTTTTTTTGTTTGTTTGTTTTCCCAGCCATTCCCAGGCGTTTGCTGGCAGCGAGGGGCGGTCCGCCCGTGATGCAGCACGAGCTGTTTCGCTTCCTCCTAAAAACCCCAAAAATAACCCCAAAACCAACCCCAAACTTCCCAAATCCTGCCCTCGGGGCGTCCCAGAGTTCTTTGCTGCACCTCAGCCACCTTTAACCATTTCCACTCCTCCTAAAAATCCCGAAATCCAACCCCAAAATTCCCCAAATCCGACCCTCAGGAGATCCCAGACACCTCAGCCCCAGGAAGTCTCTCCTTTTCTCCTAAAAAAAATCCTAAATCCAACCCCAAAATTCCCAAATCCGTCTCTCGGGAGGTCCCGGAATTCTCTGCTGCACCTCAACTTTTAATTCTTTCCCTTCCTTCGAAAAAATTCTTAAAAACACCCCCAAAATTCCCAATCCATCGGTCAGGAGATCCCAGACACCTCAGTCCCAGGAATTCTTTCCCGTCTTCCTAAAAAAATCCTAAATCCAACCCCAAAATTCCCAAATCCGTCCCTAAGGAGCTCCCAGAGTTCTCTGCAGCGCCTCAACCTTTAACTCTTTCCCTTCCTTCGAAAAAAAATCCTAAAAACAATCCCGAATTTCCCAAATCCAGGGGTCAGGAGATCCCAAAGTTCTCTGTGCAGCTCAGCCGCTTTTAACTCTTTCCTTTCCTCTTCAAAATCCGAAATCCGACCCCAAAATTCCCAAATCTTCCCCTCCTTAAGGATTTTCGTTTGAAATTCCAGCAGCGTTTTCCCTTCCCGACATTCCAAGAGTTTCTGAGGCACATCGAGAACACGGAAATGGGATTGGGAAAAAAAAAAAAAAAATTAAAAAAAAATCCCAAATTCTGGCATCACCAGATCCAGAATCCCGATTAATTCCAACGGGATTTCCAATCCTTTGCTCCAGGACAATCCAAGGTTTTGGAAAAAAAACAGGGAGCTCGGAATTTCCTGGAATTTCCTTGGATCTGCTCTGCTTTAAGGAAACAATTCCGTTAAAAAAATTGGGATTCATTTATTCAGGAGATTCCTAAAATGAAGGAATTTGCTCCAAGCGTGGAATTCTTGCAAGCCCAGAATCCCGGGATTTTTATGTTCCTGGGAAACCAGGATGGAATTCCAGGTTTAATTCCCTAAAATTCAATTGGAAACCAGGATGGAATTCCACATTTAATTGCATAAAATTCTGTTGGAAACCAGAATGGAATTCCATGTTTATTTCCAGGAAATTCAGTTGGAAACCAGGATGGAATTCCAGGTTTAATTCCAGAAAATTCAACTGGAAACAAGGATGGAATTCCAGGTTTAATTCCCTAAAATTCATTTAGAAACCGAGATGGAATTCCATGTTTAATTCCAGAAAATTCAATTGGAAACCAGGCTGGAATTCTGTGTTTAATTCCAGAAAATTCCATTCTCCAGACTCATAATATTTGGGAATATTTATCCCACTGTTCTTTCCCATTCCCAATATTCCATAGGGAGCTCAGGGATTTTGGGAATATTTATC